ACGGATTCGTCCCTTTCTTTGGAATTTTCTTAATTTTAGCCCCTTCACTCTTCTTTACTCTATATCGTTTTTGAGTTGGAAATGGAAGAACAAATCCAATCCAATTGAGGATAAACCCTAATTCAAATTCCCAGTAGAAAAGATGAAAGCTGCTGCTTCTCCCTCTAAAATCGCAAATCTCAGCTTCCCTTCTGGCCGTTGCGCACTATTCTTCCGATCACCGGCGAATTTTTTGTCGCCGGCATTGTCTTCCTCGATACCAACTTCTCGTCGGAAGCTGACAAGAGGAAGAAGTGGTATTGAAGGATTGATGTCTAAGTCTTTTTCATCATCGGCACAATCAATTTCATCTCAACCGGAATCGGATTTAACTCAGGTTCAGTTACCTACTCCGAAGCCAAAACCTCCGCCTCCACAGTTTCCATGGCTTATCGTTGGTTTGGGTAATCCGGGGAAGAAGTATCAGGGCACTCGCCACAATGTATCTCTTTATATTCTCTCTCATTTTCTCACTTTGCGTCTTCCTTTTTTGGTTCGCTAATGTTGTTATTTTATTGCAGGTTGGGTTTGAGATGGTGGACGCTTTGGCTGATGCAGAAGGGATATCAATGAACACCGTTAACTTCAAGGCCTTGTTTGGGAAAGGTGCTACTTTTCATTCTCTTATCTTTTTCGTCGTAAATTTTACATCTTTTGATGGCTTTTGATTTCTCAAAGTGTGGGTTTTTTATGAGTAAGGGATAGGAAAAACAATGGTTAATTGTATTTTTGAGAATTTAGCGTTCTTAACAGATTCTCGGTTCATAATCACATTTGATCTACGTATACTAGTCTGTAAAGCTGTTTGGTTCGAAAGGATTCTTACTTCTATTAGATGTAGAGAGATTGAAACGGTCTTCTTTTGGTCTCTGGATTGTTTCTAAGTTTGTCTATTGGTTTTTTTTTATCATAGGCGCTATTGGAAATGCACCGATTATGCTGGCTAAACCTCAAACTTTCATGAACGCGAGTGGTGAGTCTGTAAGTGAGCTCACCGGAAATGAACTTTGTTTTATTTAGTCAACTAATCTCTCTACCTATTATAACTTGTACTGTATTTGATACTTTCTGACTATGAGTATATGCTGAAATTGTTTGAAGGTTGCACAAATTGTTTCATTTTACAAAGTCCCGCTAAAGCAAGTACTTGTGGTATACTTTACCTTTCTCTCTCTCACTCTCCAAATACTGGATTTAGAAGTGTATATGCTTGCTGTCTTGAAGAACTTTCTGCGCATCTTCTACAGATTTACGATGATTTAGATTTGCCCTTTGGTAAACTGCGTTTATTGCCAAAAGGTGGTCACGGAGGGCACAATGGGTACAAAACTTTTCACTCTGTATCTTTACCTCTTTAAGAGTGTTTTATCTTAAGAAGCAATGGAGATGGATAGTTGTAACTGTTTTCAGTATCAAGTCTAAAGAGAATATAAACAGTGCAAGTATTTAGACGAAGAGAAACTCTTCAAAGCTGTTTTGGAAAAACATTGATGAAATTGTTCTGGTCATTTTAACTGCAGGATGAGAAGTATTGTAGATCGCCTCAAAGGGAGCCGCGATTTCCCTCGTCTAAGAATAGGTAAACGTTCTCATTTTTTTCCACTTCAACATACCCGATTTCCCTTTTTCTCCTCGGGTTTTTTCCAAATCGCTGCGTGTTTCGTTTCAGGGATCGGACGGCCTCCAGGGAAGATGGATACAGCCAGTTACGTCCTTCGTCAGTTCAGCAGACAAGAACAGGACGAGGTAGAAGAAGAGAAATCCCAACATTATCCCAAGAGGGTTTCTTGAAAATCATTCTAAACACCGAAAAAGCCCTGATTGTTTCTTGTTTTGCAGTTGGATCATACATTCCAAACCGGTGTAGAGGCAATAAGGATTCTTTTGCTTGAGGGGATCAACAAAAGTGCAACCTTTGTCAATACTCAAAAATCTATGGAACAGCTCAGTTAAACACCTGCAGAGTTTTCAGTCCGATTCATTATTGATTATTTTTTTGTGTTCCATTCATATTATTGAATGCTTTTGAGCAAATTGTATAT